GCTTTAGCCCAATCATCTTTTACCTTTTACCACAGCAGTTTTAGCCAATCCCCTGATTTTGATAGTTAATGCTGACAGAAGTTACTACAATTCAATAGTTTGATCAATTTTAAAAAGAAAAAAAACATAAAAATACCATTGTATTTGAAATTACTGGAACTGCAATCTCATTGTCTTTCTGACAATGACAATAAAATTCTGGTATTGTTTTAACCATAGAGTGAATTTAAATGTTTAATTATTTCCACAATTCTTATCTTCTGGCACATCTTTGCATTTGTGGTTCTTTTCATAAATATCCATTTAGTCAATTGCAGCACTTAAGGCCTCCCATAGTTTAATTGTTTTAGCTAATTGTTTTAGAGAGATTTGAGAGAAAAAAACAGAAAAGAATTTATTTTTAGTTTTTGGGCTGCTTAATTTCATAAAGACATAAGAGGCATTCCACTTTGTTTAGCTATGGCCATCCCATGAAAATGTACACATTCACTTACCTCCTCCTAATAAATATAAGTATAAAGGTATAAAACCCCAAATAGAGCATGAGGTCTTCCCTGCAGACTAGACTGCAGACCTGAAGCATCTGTATTTCTGTGTTGCACACTCTTCTGTATAGACTAAAAGAAAATTGTGTACATTCCATGGTGTCTTCTCTTTTCCACTGTTGATGTTTGCGTGTCTGCCTCTCCACGCGTGTGCGTGTGTGTGCATGTGTGTGTGTGTGTTTGTCAGAACTCTCAGTTGCACCCTCTTCTGCATCTCGTTTCTCAGCTCCATCCCAGAAGAGAGAGAGGACTCGTAATGAGCGTATGTACCACTCACATCACTTCATTTTTATTGTTTTTATTTGATTGCAAAAGAGAATCTAATCTGATATCCACTTCTTTAGATGAAATTGAGAAATACTTTGTGTTCTGAATGCAGAAATCAAATGCAACCACAGATGCAAACTGCTCTATTTGCTCGACTTCTCAACACCTCTTGTCCTGATTTTTTTTTTGTAATTAAAATTTTTTCTTTAAAAGTAGGTGTATTATGTTTCAGATAACTTAGAGCTGCAACACGCACAGCCAGCAGATGCTGATACCGAAGCACACATGCTTCATTCTGCTGTGGACTTTAAATGCCTTTTCCTGATCCTTAGCTCACATCATGTCATGTCATGTCATGTCATGTAATGTCAGTAATGTTCAGTCTGCATTAGCCGTGTTTTCCAAGCTGAGAGTAATTACGATCTAAAAACGAGTGCTGCTGGGAAGGGGAACACATCCCTATTTGCTTTCAAACAAAGCAGATAGAGAGCAAATGTGTATGAGGAACGTGGACACTGCTTTGGAGTGACTGTTTAAGTGGGTATGTGCCATTTCCTCTGCTGGTGGAGAAACAATGTTTTCTACGTCAACAAAATCCATCATCATTTTGTGCAGAAGGTTAAATCCTGCTGGGTTTTTTTGTGTGTGTGTGTATGTGTGTGTGTGTGTCCATCCAGGCTGAACTCCAGGGACCTGGTGGAATTGAAAGCAGAGGCTACTTCCTCTATCGGGTATGTTTGTGTCAGGTATTGACAGGAAGTAAAAGCTGCACATTAAATAACAGAAATGATAAGGTTCTTTTTGCTCTTATAGCCACGAAATGGAAAACGGTCTTTGGAATATGAATAAAAAAAAAAGGTAACATCGCAAATAATATATGTCAGAAGTTTTACCTATGGTGATTTTTATTTTTTACTTTTTTTAATTATGACTTGATTCTGTGTGTGAATATGCTACAGAAACTCCGCCTGCGAATGTACAGAGACACGGACCCGCACTGCACGATGACTGAGTGATCCGGACGCCTGCCACTGCCCTTTGACTCTGCTGTACATTGATGTTTGAAACTATACAATGAATACCAATTAAACTACCATTCATTTGTCCAGATTTTATTTCGTGTGATTCATTTAGGTTGTTCAAGTTTGAGTCGTGACATATTATTCCAGCATCAGTCTTTGTATTTGGAACAAGTTGGAGGAAAATACACAAAACTATACACTTTAGCATAAAAGTATCTTGCTTTTGAATCGTTTGGAGTCTCTTCTCCTTTAGCTAAATAGTTAATTTGTGTGTTTTAACATTATTTACAGACTTTATAAGTTAAATACGCAGTTATTATTACCAGCAGTAGATGCCGCCATCGTTCCACTATCGATGTGTGTTATATTTACAATAAAAGATTGCTTATTGGTGAGATTGCCAACAGTTGTGCCTAAAATCATTCAACATCCTCTGCAAACTAAGTTTACTGACAATTTTCAAAAGTGTTCAGTTGTTTATTATTATAAGTATGAGTAATATTACACGGATTTTTATCCAAATTCAACTCTAAATGAGTACTGCAGTGGCTAAAATGATTCAAACGCCTTGAATGTAATTCTTCATAAATGACCACATGTATGAATCAGGATTGTTTTCAGACAATCAAGGACTTTGTTAGTTGCATTTGGGGAATGTCTTTAAAATTACTCTTTGAAAAACCCAACAATCTGAATGCAAAGAAGGTTTGCCAGAAAATAACATCTTTAATGTTATTTAACAATTATTTCATTTTATAAATGACTAGTGTACACGCACACACTGTACGTGTACACACAGTGTGTGTACACGCATATTTTGCGTGTACACACACTGTACACGCAAAATATTAAATTCAGTTCAAATAAAAACAAACAGGAAGAAAAACGGTTACAGACACTTTTGATGTTAAATAACAGATAAAGCTTGCTAAAAACGTTAAACAATAATTTTATGGTTTTATTCTTCAAAATCTGAAATGAATGTTTTGTTGTTTTTTTGTTTGTTTGTTTGTTTGCTTTGGGGCCCGGGAAGTGATGGCGCCAATTGGCAGTTTGTATGTATGAGCTAAATACACTAATTCCACTGCGATGTGGTTGACATAACTATTGTTTTTTTTTAGCCACAAAAATAGCATTGTTTTAGTCATTTCCTCTTGGTGGATTATACTGGTTTGCCTTGGACGCCTGCAGTGAAGGAAACAAACCAGGATGTTAATAAAAGTTTAATAATTTATATTAAAAATTACGGAGCTGTGGTCACTGGACAATGTGGGGAAAAAAAACAAAGGTTTTCTTCGGCGTATATCTTCAGGATATACGCCCTACGCTGGGATCTACTGGCCAACTACTGCAAGTCCAGTCAGACAAATAATGTTCTGTAAGTTTTGTTTTGAGACAATCACAATGAATCATCTGTTCATTAAAGTGGACGTCACTTGTCATATTTTAACATTATTTCTAGTACTGTGACTATGGTGCAATTTAAAATACTTTTTTTGCAGTGAAAATAAGTACTTTCTGTTAGTCTTTTCAACTTAAACAACATATTTTGAAGTTCAATTAATATATTATATTTAGTATTTCTGCATTTTGAAAGGCTGAAGTTTAGCACATGACTAAAAGAGTATCGTGCAGCATAGTGGAGCTTATATCTAGAAAAAGTCCATTAATATCTCTCTGAAAATGAAGAACTGGAATATACAGTACCTTGTAAAATTACCATGTGATCTTTAGGTCACATTATAACCATAAACTTGTTTTGTATACATGTATGTATTGTATTGTCAATGTGTTGTTTGAGGTTGTTATGTGAGAGACCATTACAAAGTAGTGTAAAATTTGCAGTGGAAGGGAAACAATAGTAGGGTTTAAAAATACTTTACAAAAAATCTGAAAAGTGTGGCCGGCATATTCCTAAATTTGCATGATAAGTAAATGTAATCCACATCTATGTGAATTATCTCAGTATGAAACTGTTCTGTAAAGGCTTCAGAGATATTGGACATTGGTGAAAACATGACCATGAACAAGAACCACAACATGTCAGAATAAAGTGTAAAGCAGAGTTAGGCTGTAAAACCATATCCCTACAATTGCACAATCCTCCATTTGAAAGTAGGAAAAGCACAAGAAAAAAAAAAGACCCATCAAGACTTGGTGGTGCACTTAAACTGATAGCCTTGGCAAGAAACGCATTAATGACAGACGCAGACAAGTCGCTGCAAAGTTTCATCGCTCAGGTGGAAGGATCTGTTGACATGACTTTTATGGGAAAGTACCAAAATTCTTGACCTACTAAGAAACATAGCCAAAAGAATTTACCACCTCTGTGGTTTGCCACAAAAGGGACACAGAAACAAGTGGGAAACGGTGCTACAGTCATGATACTAAAATAGAACTTTTTAAGCTATGAAATACTGTTTTGCAGACATCTTGTCTGAACGCATTGAGTCATAGTGGCGGCAGCATAATTAAACATTTAGTTGTTTTTTCTCTCCAAGATTCTTGCTGTAAGTCTAAGTATTATTAAAAATACATCTTTACATACATATAAAACAATTCGAAGTAAGGAAAGAGTCACGTCGTCCTCAACTCTTAACGAGAAAAACATAAAGTGAAGCTTTTAAGATGGAATATTTCACAAGTTTTAAAGGAGAATAAATAAATTATAGTGGCTTATTTTTCCCTTTGGTTTCTAAAACCTTCTAAAAAAAAATTGAAATAGCGCCATATTCCCTATCCACTTAAATATGGTGGTCAAACAGAGTACTGCGACTCCCCTCGCTTTGTCTGTTGCCATGGTGATGGTACCACGCTGAAGATGGGGAAACACTAAAAATACAACAGTTTAATTGCCAAGACACCTACAGACTCTAACCTACTTTGTTAAAGTTAAATGTATTATTAGAACCTTACATATATCCAGAAATAACAGAATCTACACGCAGTATGATAAAATATCTACTTTGTGCATTTTCGTCTGCTGCAGAAATTTTCCACTGTGAATGGCGATGAGAAGGAAGGAGAGAGAAGGAAAGAAAGAGAAAAAAGTAATAAAGAAAAAGAGACAAGAGAAGTTAGCGAAATAATTTTTAATTGTCTACAAATGGTTTCATTCAAAATCTCTGAATTACAACTGATGTTTAACAGTGCATTATGCTAAGTGACGAAGGTGTAAGCAGTTTAATTAAAAGTGCGTGTGCAGTGTGCCGGTGTTCGCAGAGGCGTGTGTGTGTTTTCTGGAGAACAGCGGCAGCCGGCAGGCCGTTTTGGCTCCAGTTCCAACTCCAGTCAGTCTGCCTCCTCAGTCTGCGCAGTCAACCGCCAGCAGCGCCACTGGGTGCAGGAATATCCCGATGAAAGACCGGACTCCACGGAGGTAAGTGTCTCCGTTTTATCAACAAAGCTGCTCCAGGACCGCCGCATCTATATCGACGGGCTCCACGTCCACTTTTAGCAAGCTTGAGCGGACTAAAAAGAAAGAGTCCAGCTTGTTCCCGTTTAGAAGCGGAGACCGGCTGAAGGCCCAGTGACCCACATTCTTATCTAATGCTGCATGTTAGCCAGCTAGCATCGACTAACACTGGGTTAACTGGCATACAGCTCCTTTTGGCGTACGAGTTAAATTCAAGCAATATATTTCATGTTAAAGTTACTCGCCGCTTGTAAAAATGTCTCTTTCACTATTTTACTTTAATATTATGTACTTGTGAGTGCCATTTATCGCAGTGTTAAACTATGGAGCTATTGTTTTGTTGCTGTAAATGTCGTTAGCCGGTAAGCTAGGTGGCGACAGCAGCCTTCCAGCAGTCTCTTCCCGGTTTTGCCGGCCGGCTTCAGGGCATGGACGGATACTTTATCGGAAACTTTCATGCAGACCAGGCTTCAGTTAGCTCTCCGACTACATAACCAGCAGTCCAGTTTAATATTAATATTTGGCAAGCCCGTTTCCCTTCACGTTAATTACAGCTGCTTTGTTTTCTTTGCACCTAAAAGTCATAGGTTTTTCCAACAGACAGTAAATGATCACATTACTTCAGACGCCAAAGCTATTTAACCTGTCAACGCAGCTGTTTCTTGTATGGTCCTTGATTTCCTTGATTTTAAAGATCCCCTGCTAATGAATGGGGGTATCCACGGCCGGTCCAAAACTATCTGGGGCCCCAAACAGGAGGGGACTTTCAACTACCATCAATTACCTCCACATTACTAACATCCCCTTCATGTTACCCGTGTTAAAAGTTTATATGTCGAGCATAATTACTTTCATTTACAACTGAAAACTAATTGCTTGAATCTATTGGAAAGTGCACTATTTCAATACTAAAAATCAGAATAACACCTTACTCAACAAATGACTCAAAACAAAAATGTCCACCAGTCTCTAAATGCATCAGTTGTGTTAATATACTTTAATTTATTTTTTGAGAACAATTAAAAGGTTACTGACAGATTGCTTTAATCAAGAAGTTCCCCATGCTGGTCCTCGGGTCCCGTTGTCCTTCATGTTTTAGACACTTTTTGCTCCAGCACACCTGAGTCTAATAACTTCATTACCACCTCCACATGTTATGAAGTCCTGCAGAAGCCTATTAATCCCCCATTCATTTAAGTCAGGTGTGCGACAGCTTGGAAACATCTGAAACATACAGAATAGTGGCTCCTGAAGACCAAGATTGAGAACTACTAGTTAAGCCATAAATGTGGTTAATCTTGCAATTCCCTCCTTTTTTTCTGTTGAATTCAAAACTCCATCAGAGAGCCTATAACATATATTACAAATATTTTATTTGTTGTATCCCTTAAAAGAAAAAAGGCAAAGTAGCTTAAAATCTAAATGAAAAAAGAAGGCTACCAGCCTGGAGCAGACTAATTGGTGGACGTATTAAATACTTATCCACTTAGAGAAATTGTTGTTTAAAAAATGATCACATGACTTGTTTTAATTACCACTGATGTGTCACTGTCATAAAAACATTTCAAACCTTAATGCAAAGTGCTTTGTTTGCTTATATGTTGGGCCAGTACAGATTAAAAATTTAAAAATGGGAGTAGAGAGAAATGACTGTCTTTTTATGTAGAGTACTTTCAAATAAAGTATTAACCTTTAGAATATTCTTATAAATTGAGTTTGTGAATAAGATATGCCAGCTAGACTTTTAGTTGAACCATTCTAGTCATTCCTGTCTTGTATGCCCTGAAACTCTGAGAGGAATTTGTAGTGTGACAAGTACTTTACCTGCAGAGAGATCTCTTTCACACGAAAGGGATTGTTTGTGTCAGGCTGACCTTTTTCTGAAAACTAAGGGAATCTTCTTGATCTCCAAGACATAACAAGTCTGGCTTAATAACTTTGTCAGCACTTATTTCTTCTCTGTCGAAGAAAACAAGGGGGAGGGCTCTTTTGCTTCTATGTCAGCAATCCAGTGGTGAAAGAAGCTGTTTAAATAAATTAATACAATTTTATTTAAATCTGCCATGTTGTGTGTAGTGTCTCTTTAACTTTCTAATTTTTGACACCATTTAAGCAGTGTAGATAAATTTTTCAGTTTCACTCTTACAAAGTGGGTTCATATTTTTTCTAAAATGTGGTATAGTTCAATATAAAATCACAAATATGTTTGGATCATTACTTCCAACAATGGACATTTAGAGAAAAAAAAAGCTTTTGTATCTTGACACTGAGGAGTTATTAATAGAAACAAGCTTACTACAATGTTGGCAAAGGTCATTTTATTTTCTCTTTCTTTTTCAACTGAGCAAATTTCTGTATCTCGTCAAGTAAACACTTCATTTAATGAAACCATTTCTGGACTGTTGTGTTTCAACATTACTTTTTCACATTTTCAAGTAATACTTTGTTCTGTTTAAAAAAGAAACGCGAGCTACAATAGTAAAAGTTTATTTCAAGTCTTAGGAGCCCCTGTGATTAAGCACCTAAAGGAATAATATAAATGTTCAGGGTTTCCCCCAGTGTTCCAGGCTGGACTTGTGCCCCCACCAGGCTAATCATTGCCTATTTACCTAAGCATTATTAAAATGTTTGTATTTTTTAAGACTTTATTATTGGTGTCCAGGTGTTAATCTTTCAATCTTTCAATAGCACATAATTATCAAGTGAAATTTTCAAATTTCCTGTCAACTTTAAATGTTTTTTAACTCAAAAACACGACGGACCGCTGGATGAATCACTGTCCTGTCATCCAACCACCAGGCTTAGCAAGTTTCCTGGGGGAAACCTTGCAAAGTTTGGAAGCAGATTAGCTTTGAATGCTCCAGCACATGTGTTCTTCACACATGTGTGTGAATAACATCAGATGCTTCTGCATTTGCACTGCTGCAAAGGCCTCAAGATGACCCAGATGTTTTGGTTCTGATTCAGTAATACTTCTACCCCTGCTCTGGTATATATAGCCCTTGAATAAAACTGACTACAATACTCTGTCATGAGATGAAGGAGTTGACTAATAAACAAAATCCCACTGAATTGTGCTGCTGCTTGCAGGATGTGCTGTTGTGGAAGGAGTTTATTTCCAGAGACCCTTAGCCTGAGCTAATTAAGCTGTTTGAACTGCAATCCGTCAAGCGCTTGTGACAGAGTTGCTCTTCATCCATGTTTCATTGTGTTCTATTTTTGCTCCACAATCTGTCGTCACGAAATTGATGAATATGAATCCCAGAGCGATGTTGCCTGAGTCACCAGAGCTCCAAATGTTTTGTCGTGAAATGAAGCAGGAAAATGGATCGGTGTTCTGTGATCGCACATTATGCTGAAATAATGCGGACAATCGTGTTTAACTAGTATCGCCTCTCCGTTTCAGCTGTTGACAAGTTTTGCTTTTGCTATCCTCTCATAAAGTTCAGACGAAGGCAGTTTCAATACTTTAATGTAAGCCTGTCGTAATAAATAAAAATGAGCATAATCATTTACTTTCTGATGATTAATACATATGTTGAAGGGCAATTTTTATTCATAATTTTGGTTGTTATTTATATATATATATTTAAAATATCTTCCAGTTCCAGTATTAAGTGTTCTGTACAGAATTAAAGTTTATTTGTTTTTGAGATACATTATTATAATTATGTCATTATTATCAATAGATTACTTGAAAATAATCTAAAAACACACACTTTCCATTACAACAATAAATGTGTAATCCATCAAAATTTATTGTGACACGTCTGCCTTTAAAGTATGTCAGAGTTTATCATTTATGCTTCAGGGTCACATGACCTGCTTTAGAGCTGAATCATAAATCAATATCTTTCTGAAATAATACAAAGTGCCTTTTAGAATAAAGTTTAAAGCATTAGCTGCACTTTATGACAATGTTTTAGCAAAAGTCCACTGTGCACTGTGCTTTCTATGTGTTATCGCTGCATTCATTCTAGCTAACAAAGTGAACTTGACCTTGAACTTTGAGGCGTGACACTGATAACAGAGCTTTTACATTGAACTTTATTCAAAATATTAATAAAAGGGCAGGAAAAAGTCAGCAGAGTTTTTGATAACGATGAATTTAAAAACAGACTTTTCCAGAGGTCGGATTGTGTGCGGACATTTTATTTATTTTTTTGACCCTTTACTTAATAGAAATTATTCCTCAGATGTCTATAATGCATCCCACTAAATGTCACCCTGATTGTGTCAATCCCAGTCAAGCTTTTGCTAACTTTTGCTCATATTGGTCAGATAGGTTTACGCAGCATTATTTATTTATTTATTTGCATTAATTTGTAGGATTTCTTGTCTAACTGAGAGATATTAAACTTGAAGAGTGAAGGACGCAGCCTTTTTGTGTTTACAGTAAACAACAATCACCCTTTTGCCAGGGTAAAAGGTCTTTACATTTAAAGTTATTTTCATTCAGGCAAGAAGTTTTTCTGATGAGAAATAAAATGTTGAAAAGTATGATTTTTAGGAAGAAAAAAAATAACATCAGTGGGAAAGTCGCTACTGACATCAAGCGCTTTTTATAATTCTCGATGAGCTTCCTGCACGGTTCCTCTGGTATTTATGACATCTCATCTTTTCCAATGAGCTCTTAAGTCTTTAAGGGTGGAATGCCTCTTTGCCATCACCCTAATCTTTAGCTTCTTTCATAAGATTTTCCTTCAAATTCAAGCCAGGACTTTGGACAATGTGTTTCTTTTACAGTTAGACGAAGTGGTTTGAATACTTGAGCTCAGCTGTCCCTGATCAGAAGAGATTTGATGAATTTATTTCAGTCTTCCTACATATCAGATCGCCTGCTTACCTTTTACAAAATGCTTGGTATGGGGAAGTCTTCTTACTAGCTAAAACTTCAAGAGGAGCTGCTTTTAACAGCAGTAATCGCTGTTAAAAAATACAACTTTCAGCTTGACTTAGCTGGC